TTTCAGGGATCTTATTACCTCAGGTTCAGAATTCTTGGTCTGTCAACTCATGTTACAGGTGAGTGCACTGGGGCTCAGAGGGGGAGTTACTTTACCAAGTTACCCTGAAGAAGTCTGAGTAGAATGAACAGAACTGGGTGGAAGTAAATTCTGAAATGGTGGCCTGGACAGGTTTAATGAGAAAGGGTTTTCCAGATTACCTTTCATATTCCTGAACAAGAGAAGCTTCTCTTTCACGGGTTTAATCAAACCCATTTAATTCCTCTTTTCCAGAAAAACTATATGAAATTACAAATAGTTATAGATAGTGGAAAACACAAACAAGGGTCACCTGGGGAGATGAGCTCTGGGCAATCTCTGCACCATAAACTGATGGGCTCTGCTGGAACAAAGTTCCACATCAATCCAGACCATTCTTCAACATCTGTACAGAAAAGACAAAGGGAACTTAAGGGGAACATCTACTTAGTTGCAGACTTCAGCTCAGAACTCAGTAATGTAAAAGATCACTTAAGGGAAGAAGAGAACTGTTGAATATTAAATTAACTGCCTGAACTAGGTTTTGAGTGTTAAAAGATTACCGACATCCTTTATGGATATGTCACGAAATACCATGAAGTTATTTACCAGACATTAAAGAATAATTCCAACTTGTGAAAGAGTAGACAGCACGTAAAACTCATAATCTGAACAATAAAAATTAAGAGGGAAAATAATTTGGAAATTAAAAAGATATCCAATGGATTATATTAAACATAAAGAGGATACATCAAATTTAGAAAAGAATGCGACGAGCCATAAAAAAAGGAGAGAGAAATAGTACTGTTAATAATGGCTATTGTAAAAAGCACCATGTGGTTACAGAAAGTCTTCCCCCATTAAGTGACTGAGCTAAGCCTCTGCCCTCTAGATGAGTAAGGGTTCCAAATGGAATTATCTTCTGATGTAATACTTAGAAAGTGCAGATGCCTCCAACACCTGGTTTCACACCTCTCATTCTCTTCTGCATAACTGAAACAATTCCCAAGTTTTAATTAACGAGGTCACAGGGCCACAAATCAGCACTTCACAACTTAATATCCCATACCCAATCAATTCAGTACTCACCAGGGTTTGGGTCCTGTGCTTTGTCCCAGACCACTCACTACGTGTTTTGTTCTCTGTGTTAAGTCTCTCTGTGTCCTTATTTCTCTTCAGTCCTTTTGTCCATTTCTGTTTCCCTCCCTCGCTATTACTCCTCCAACAGTCTGACACCACTCTATTACGGCC